CGAACACAAAGGGCAAAGCTCCTGATGTATTCCTGCAGCAGACTTTTCTGGTTTCCCCTGTGCAGATTTGGTATTCCTTAAAGGGTACTAGAAATGTGCCTCTTTGGGTTACTTTGATCTAATGGACTAGAGAACCAATGGACTAGAGAATAATCTCAAAGTGGGACAGGGACAGCCTGCCTCACAAGCTCAAGGACACAGAGTTTGATCCCCAGTACCAAAAAAAATAATAATGGGACATAAGGTGCCCTTTCATAAATGAAATGTGTATTTGTAAAGTTGTTGGTGTTGTTTTTTAGAGATTTTCTTTGTTCTGAGACACTTGGGCTCAAACTTGAGATCCGCCTGCCTCAGCTTCCCAGAATACTAGGATTACAGACACACACCACCACACCAGGCTAAAGGCATAATTTTTATTAATGGAAAGGGAATCAGCTCAAATCTGCATAACAAACTTTGCTTAACGGAATTTACCATACTTTTCCTACTCTCCAGTTCCACTCTACCCAACCACATAGAAACCCTAAATCCCTTCTTTGTGAAGCCCAAAAAGACCAAATTGTGGCTGGGGGTATAGACCAGTGGTAGAGCATTTGCCTAGCATGCTTGAGGCCCGCAGCTCAACCCTCAGTACCACCAGAAAAAAGAGGGAGGGAGGAAGAGGGGCCACCCCTCTTACTCAGTGTCTACCCATGTGCATGTGCACAAAGCACGTTAATGTAACTTACTTGTTTTTATGTCAATCTGTCTTGAATTTAATTCACAGGGCCTTGGCACAACATAAGCTATGTGGAGGAAAATGTGTCTCCCTCCCAGCTGCCCCCTGACACATACTTGGAGATGCACCTCATGCTGCATGAATGTCCCTCAGAAATGTCCCCGTCAGGGTTCAGTCCACACGGGCTCCACCCATGTCCCACTGCTCCGCCCCTGGTGCTTGGGCTTCTCCTACGGGAGTCTCCCGTGCGCTTCCTCGCCCGAGGGCCACAGCAGTGGATGCTATGATGCTAGTTAAGCATGCTGGTATCACCTCTTCTGGGGGCAGCTGTCACCTGACATGATGCCTGTTTTTCCACTTGTTAATGGACCATGAAGGGCAAAGTAACAATATTCCCTGCTCCAAAAGCCTCAGAGAAGAAGCAGGCTCCTGTCCCAAATGGCCTAAAATTAACAAGGAAAGTGGGAGCAGCCCCAGTGGGCAGGATCATCTTCAACACAGAAAGCAGAAAGGTTTAGGTGTGGAAAGCTATCCAAGAAATCAAGGGCCTGGTAAAAAGGCTCAATGCCAGCAAACAGACAGGAGAGGGGGTGATCGAGACGAGCAAACACTGGCTCTGGAGTAGGTAAATCATCTTTCCAAAGGAGCCTACAACAGCTTTATCCTATTCTACACAGTGTTTTTGCAGTGTGACCATGTTTCTACCTCTGGAACCTGGCACAGCCTATAACTACCCAGTCCCATGGAGTAGCGCAGAAATACCACGTGACTTCAGAGGCATTGTCAGGAAAAAAGATCCCTAGCTGACTCCCCAGCTCTCCCTCTCTCTCAAAACACTCACCTTTGGGCTCCAGTCACATTATGAAGCATCCTAGGTCACATGGTACATGTGCTGCCCAAGCAAGCAAAATTCCAGGCCACATGGAAAAGCCATGTGTACGGATTCCAGCCCACAGGGCTCGCTCAGCTGAAGTCTCAGTTGGGCCATTATCCACCTTTAGATACTGAGAGAAGAGGTGACTTCTGGGAAGATGGCAGAGTGGTGAGCGGTAGAGAGACTCTCCAAGATTTGGTGTCCTGACACTGAAATACCACAGCCCCCAGACTCAGGAAGGATCTGAAGTGAGAATTGATGTCTACAGGGAGAATGAAGAGAGAGACTTTAACAGAGGAGGAAGGTACCACGCAGCACTTGCTCCCAGCGCCCGAATCCTCCTCCAGGGAATGGTGGCCAAACTGGCAGATGCACATTGACTACTGAGGACTCCAGAGGCCTCCATAGAGAAACGCACCAGTCCGACTGCAGCAGCTGGTGAGTTATCTGGGTTCAGACATCAGTCAGGAGAGGGTGACTGGCTGGTAGCCATCTTGGAGAGGAGCCAGTTCAGCTCAGAACCTTCGAGTAGTCCCCAGTGCCTCAGTGCAGGAGCAGAGCTCAAGACAGCAGGAGGCACACAGACTGTTGTAGGCTCAAGGAATCTGGTTCCAGCCTCAGTCAGAAACTGGGCTGAACTTCAGAGGAACTAAAGCGTTGGCTGGGATTATCCACTACACCACCATGAAGCTGCAGCTAGATTGCTGGGATTCATCAGTTTGGCTCTGGACTCTGTCCACATTGCCTAACAATGACAGCAGAGACACACCTTGAACTGGACATTTGGGCTTTTTTCTTTTTACTTTTTGTTCCCCCTTTCTAGTTTGTTTGGTTTTTTTGGGGGGGTTGTTTGTTTGTTTCTTGTTAGGTACTAAGAGAAGAACCCTTCACATGACTCTAGCAGCCAGCCTTTAACCCAGCTGTAACAGAGCAGGGGAAATGTTCCCCACTGTAGCATGCCTAAATTGCTAAACCCCAGAAGCCATTAAAGCTAATAGGTAAAGCAGTAACTGATAGTAACGCACACATTAGGAAGCCAGGTGTGGTAGCACACAGAGGAGGATTGTCACAAGTCTGAGGCCAACCTGGGCTACATAGCGAGACCCTGTCTCCAAAATCTAAAATCCAAGATGAAGATGATGATGCTCATGTTTCAAAACTGGCTCTACTCCTTAAGATTTTTCCCCTCCCTGGGCTGCAGTCTCCTTGCCAGATAATGAGCATACTAACTTCGCCCACCCTGCGTTGTCCTGAACGGCAGCACTAACAACAGAAATGTCCATTATCCCTGGTTCCTGTTTAAGTGGTCCTATTTGTTCATCTACTTAGTGGTCATCATCAACCTATCTTAAGCGTACACATCCCACAAAAGCCATCTTGCTCACTGCCCTGCCCAAGTGCTCCCTCAGTAATCTGCCCACTAACACTTGTCAATAGACTGCAAGGACTGCAAATGCTCACCAAATACTCTGTGCCAAATGCTAAGTGACTGGGACTGGAGGGCCAGGCCGACACAGGGAAGAGAGGGGCACCGTGACCTGGCAGGCAGTCGGGAGAAGGACATTCCAAAGTCTGAAAGGAGCCGGGCATGGTGGTGCACACCTGTAATCCCAGCACTTGGGAGGCTAAGGCAGAAGGATCGCTGTGTGAGTTCCACCCTAGGCTACATAGTGAGTTCCAGGTCAATCTCAACTACACAGTGAGACCCTGTCTCAAAAAAAAAA